TTTCTGCGAAGCCAGGTGTATGTAGAGTCAAAAATGTATGTCGAAAGAAATCGCCCTTACAAGTTCTTACAAATCTTACAAATCGATCGGAAAGCTTTACAAGTCTTACAAATCCTGCTAGGCAAAAGGAATTCTGGTCTCGAAGGTTGTTCTGCACATCACTCCGTTAGCAGAAGGAATGTTTAAGAAACGAATGCTGCCGAAAACGATTCCTTTGCCTAGCATCGCCTTCCACGTCCCCTCAAGCTCATGCCGGAGGCGTGCTCAAGCCGCGTTTGAGCATGGAATGCCAAATAAAAGCGATGCAAAGGAGGCTTACGGATATCATACCGCATCTCTGCGAGCTGCGAAAGCCCGTCATTCACATAGACGCGCACGGTGCGGTCAGAGGACCAGCGGCCCATCAGACGGAGCCAATCCATCTGAGGATTTTTTGTGAAATACATCGTCGCACCACCGCGCCTAAGGCTGTAAGGACGAAAGCCCCAACTGTGCATCCGAAGAGCCGTTAAGGAAGAATCAAATGCCTTCCTGAAATGATAATCCGATACTGGCACGAGCTTGTCTCCAGGTTTGGACCTAGATTTCCAAGCGGAGAGTTTTCGGCACAACGATTCAAGCCTGATTGTGACCGAATCGGCTGCACCAGTGCGTTGAGAAGTCTTCGTAAAGCCCAAGCTCAATACAGCACAATCAAGCCTAGAGCTTACGGAGACATGTTGCGCACACATCTGTAACAATTCACCTGTTCGCAAAACACCATAGAAGGCCGTTTCCAATGCAAGGGACATCTGGGCATCGCCCAAGTTGAGAAAATACCCACACATGGCATGAAGAAGATCCTCCGGAAGGGGCGGCGCCCTGTGAGGAATTTCCAACCTTTGCCAGGTTTTCACGAGCCTCCAAGAAAGGTTGAGGTGGCCGCGCAGGTGCGGGCGCAAATCTTGCAGTCCAGACAGTGCGTCCGTCACAAGAGATAAACTGTCCCCGCATTCCCAAAGGAATTCGATGTAATCCGAGAAAACTTCATCCAGAACATCGCCTTTGTCAGGGATGCATACTTTTCTGGATTGGCAGAAAGCATAGAAAGCAGACAAAGCTGAGTTGTAGCGCTTTCGCGCCTTCAACCCCACAGTATTCTCTCGCAAGGTGCCGATCGAGCTGCGCCTCTCCCTCCTTTCATCTCTAGTGCGACCACTCATCGAACTCATTTTGCCCATTTGCGACGCACCCGAGCTCGACGGCTCGGCTTGTCAGCGGGATTTTGATGGGTCGACACATAGCAGATGAAAGGATGGAGGCCAGCTGCGAGAGATAAAGATGCGATGCGATACATTAAAGATTGGATCTTGTGCGAACTGGAGCGTCCGCGGTTGATCACGTGCAGCGACACAAGGCTGTCAGTCAAATGGACGAATTTGATTCGGAGGCTTTTGTTTCGAAGAACTCGCCACCGCAAAGATGAATAGACGGCCCGAAGTTCAAGCCTGTTGATGTGCTCGGCACGGTTAGCCCACGACCAGCCGCAAATGGTGCGCCACCGCCATAGATTCGCCGGGATAGTGTTCCTGAACTTCTGTGGCGCTCGACTCTCACTGGACACCTGAATGAGAATGTCCTCCCCCTTGGTGGACAAGAGGGTCAAAAGTTTGCGAGTCAGGCTCACTTCCAAGCTCGGGTCAGCAACTTTCCCAGGGATGCCGAAGGAACGCCAGTGGAGCAATGCATCGGAAAGAATAGGCGCATCACGAAAGAATAAATCCAACAACTCATTCAAGTTGGCGACCATGCAAAGTCCCAAAGGACGTAGGAGATGAAGCAACAACCAACTCACAACTGGAACACTCCACGCACAACCGATCAAGCTCATGCGTGTATCATCGTGCTTCAAGCGGTTGGACTTGATTTCATTCTTCGGGAGACAATTGAAAGTGAAGTCACGGGGAAGTCCCATGGCACGTTCACGCTCCGCAGCGGTGGACATGCGACCACCATGACGAGGATGCCAAAGAAGATTTTCATCACGATACTGGTAAGGGGGGAACCGGTGCCTGTCGTTATGCCACCGCTCCTTGGCTTCATAGGAACACTTATTCAATCCGGCAGGGTTAGCCCCTGGCGCGGAGCTGGGCTGAGCTGTGGTGAAAGCACCGAGGAACTCAATACTTTCAAAGAAAGTCCATCCAGGTTCAAATATTCCGACAAACGACTTGTCTACGGAGAAGTGAACTTCAGTGTAACCTGTTTCGCTCTTGTCAATGGCGGGGCGCAGTGTGCATCCGGCTTCAGCCTCCAACGCCCAGTCAATCCAGTACAAGCGCTCCCGACGACACGGAGAGATCTCGGAAGCACAGATACGACAAGGCAGTACTCCAGCATCACGGGTGTAAAGAGCCCGTTCACGAATCTCCATGTTGAAAGCTGACTCTTCAATAAAGTGAACAGGACACCAGCAAAAATGCTGTCGTAGCTTCGCAATGACTGGCTGGACCAAGGCATGCAAGCTGGTGATCGGCTCACGATCATTAACCGTTCCATGCAACCTAAGAGGTACGCCAGCCCCAACGATCACCAAGGAACAAGTCGAAGCTCTTCCAGCCCATTCCTGACACATGTCTGATGTGATGGACTCCACAGCATCCAAGCGAATTGAGTCAGGAAAGTGGGTCTCCACAATTCTTTGAGCGGCGTCAGAGCATTGCACAGACACGTGGAGCAATACATGTGTTTTCAACGCCTCCAACGCCACACGCAATGAGCCAACTCCGTCAAACAAGCCAATGCAAACAACCGAGCGATGCGGCAAGTCTCGGTGGATTTGCCCCCGGAAGTCTCCTTTGGCAACTTGTTCACCAAACGATGTGAGTCCATCTGAGGCACATAGCCCTCCACCGGATAGCGAAGCATCGCTTGCAGTGCACAATCCAGAGATACTTGCACGGTAGTCTTGGTGCGCAAGGGGCAGCAAACTCAAGAACATGCAGAGTTCAGAGGCAACAGGACTCGGCAATTTGCGACTACAAGGCCCTGGCTCATCAAAGGACTGAATGAATCGCCACACGTAGTTGAGGCATGACATGAGCGGTCGTCGAAACATCGCAAAATAAACAAGGCCCCGCGAAACCACTTGGATTTCCTTCTGCGTGCACCTCCGCCTCCTGAGCAAGGAGACCGCGGCGCTCGCGTACTTTCCAAGTTTGTCGGGCTTGGGTCTGGCTAATCCCGTTTTGCCGTTAATCTCTGCTCCCTGAACTTCAGCAGCGGAGGCTTGACGAACGGACTTCTTCTCGTTCAAAGGTATCCCTGCCGCGTGGTATGCCGTAAGAAGCGGAGACATGTCATCGGATACCTGTCCCTCCAGCACTGAAATCAATTCAGGATCAATCGAATGCAGCACATCCAGGTTGTCAAGGTAGACTCGCCACTTCGGGTTCGCTAGACTCCAAGTCCGATCACGTCGGATTTCGGAATAACTCAGGAGATTGCTGGGGTCTCCCTGAACCCTTCGGAGAAAGTTCCGGTGCAAGTGTTGCGCGATACCAACTGAATTGAGGAACCCCATCGGGAGGACTTTGGAGCACAAGAAACACGGCTCATCGACACCTGGAGGCACCAAGTCGTCTGGCACTGCACGATTGAAAGCAAGGTACGGGTACCAAACTGGGGGAAGAGCGAATATGTAGAACATCGCGCGGATATCCTCCGAGGAAATGACAAGCTCCTCTGACGGTTGGAGTTCGAGAGCATTCATTTGTGGTAACAAAGGCAACGTGTCGACATCACCACGGACTGGAAGGAATAGTGTATTCGAAGGTACCAAATTCATGATCAACCTGTGCACCTCGACACCTTCATGCTGCTCCCCTTTTTCAACGCCAAAAAGACCGTTAAGGATGCAAAGCCCACCAGCTTTGACAAGGGCTGACTGAGGGAGAATTGCACAAAGGTTGTACTCAATCAGTCCCCTGGCCATGTCTCCCCAGTCTTCATCCGACACCATAACGCGGGAGGAAGGAACCGGAGAAGATTCCCAATCAGGCCGCAGGAACAATTCTGGCTTAGCAAGATAAGCATGTATGCCTTCTTCAGCCAAGTCCAACGCAGGAATCGACCCAACACAACCTCGGGGAAGAGCTGGAGCAATGTGAGACCAGTTGGTCCATTTTGCCGACCTGACTTCCTCACCGGTGTAGCTGAGGGATCGAGTTTTCAGAAATGACGTCCAATCAAACACTTCAATGCGGAATGACTGGTCCAAGAAACGGTCGACTCGCCCACGAAGGAACTCCAAGATCTTTGATTGAATACCGCTTGGTTCAAAAGCCTTCATACCAGCATGTTTGCCTCCATTCAGGTAGTTCAACCCTGAAACCAAAAGGAATAGCCACAGTTCACGACAGTCGGATTTCTCTCTCATCTCCCACACTCTGTCTTTGCTGGGCAGGGGCAATGGGAAAATGTCCGCACATCGATCTTCCCTTGTTGCCGTGGTACCTCCCTGGACTTCGCAGAAAGCTCCAATAAGATCACCAAATGAACTGTAACGGCTGCCCAGAATCACATCAAACAGAACGCAAGACAATTGATCCGAATTGCAAGGCAAGGATTCCTGCCAATCGCAACCACCAAACGTGTCAGATCTCAAAACTCCTCGCGAGTGTTGCGGAAGCTCTAACTGAGGGTCCTTCCTCAGTTGTGGGGCTTCGTGGGTTCCAATCTGTGGGCTCCCTGATCTTTTCCCCCCTTGGATGCTCCTTTCTTGCCGTCCCCTTTCTTTCCTCCCTTGCCCTTGTCGTCCCGATACTGCCACCCCCAAGCTCTTCCCCCTTTGCCGGTGATCTCTCTCTGTAGCTTGCTTTCCCACTTGAACTCTCGCGCAGCACTCTGCATCTCTGCATTGCTGGCTATGCGTTCGCTGTCCTGGGGTACTAGCTCTAGGTACTGAACCACACCCCAAGTGGATCCGTTGACCACTAGTTCCAATGCCTTGATGCGCTGGTTCACAATGTCCATGGCTCCTAAGAGATTTCGTTGAATCAAACGGTCCATGACATGAGCGAGCGTGGTGAGCTCCCTCCGTTGGCCTGGTATCATGTCCCTTCGCAAAACGGTCAGTCGCAAATACTTCAGATAAATGGGGAGTACGCGACCTCCTTCGGTGCCGGCCTGTTCCACCAAAATGCGGCTCATTTCCTCGATGGAATGGCGGGTAAGGAAACCTGGATGTTTCCTCGCTAGCTGCTTGACTCTGTGCCCTTCGCGGAAGGGGTGGCCTGAATCTTGCGAATCCAGCGTCCCGCCGGATGAGCTGCTGCGACTGTGACTGCTCCCTGAACTCACGCTTTCCACATCCCGCTCTGGACCCTTCGACTTCTTGCCTTTCTTTGATCTCTTCTTCTTTTTCTTCTTGCTCCCCCTCCCTTTGAGGATTGATCGCACGGTCAGGGTTGGGTCCAGGCGGGTCTGCCTGAAGTCCCGGGAGCCGGTTTTCAACTCTTCCTTGGAAATGCTTGCGTTAGGTCTGCCGATGGTTTGGGGCCTTCGTTGGGCTGCTGGGCTTCCTGAGCGATGCCCCTCAGTTCCTTCTCGAGACCTCCTAGCCCGGCTCCCTCGGGATGCTCTGCTGCTTGGCCTACGTTCCCTGACCACACGGCTGTGGTGTCTTCGATGCTCACTTCTGTGGCGTGAAACGCTCCGGTGGAAATGGGGTGCTGGGGACAGCCTACGGGACACAGATGTGCCACCACTTCGGGTGGATAACCGCCGGCTTTGCTGGTCTCGGCCCACTTGAGGAGATCTTGGCTGTCTGTACCACTCATCAACAAGGTAGCCTGTAACCCGCTGTGGCTCATCGTGATGAATTGCAACTTCCCGTTCACGCGACATGGCTTACCCCAATAGTTTCCACGAAATTGGTAGGAATCACCAAACTCCCAGAAAGATAATGGCACTGACGAGATGGCCAATATCTGACCTCTTTTGGCCCGACCCTTATAATCGTATAGCTTTCTGATCTTCGGGGCCTTGGCTCCGCCTCCTAAAGATGGAGAAGCGGCTCGACGAGATGTACGGGTGGAAGGTCGACGAAGGATGGATCTGGCTCTTGACATGAAATTCCAAATCTCACTCTTCTATCCAGATATCACAACTCCTCGCCCAAGATTGGGGCCAACTGTCAATCCAAGTGCGGTGCCCCTCCGGGTTGATGAGATGTAGCTGATGCTGTCAGTAAAACAAGAGTGGGCACTCGCTTCCTTCTCTTCTCCGAGTCTTGGAGCTTGCCCCAGCAGATGCTATGGCGTCACGGATGTTACTCGACTATCTTTGTCAAGCTGATGCCCAGAAAGCCGTGACAACAAGAGCTTCCACCCTTTCGCCGTCTTATGGATAAGGTGAAAGGACGCTCACTACAAGGTGTAAGTTCTGACCCTGACAAGATCAGTGGTGGATGAAACTTGCTGCACTTTCCGCACACCGACCACCTGATGACCAAAAAGCGGCTACAAGGGCACGGCTATTTCGTCTTAGATATCGTGAAGCACGAACAGTCACGTGAGCCGTGAAACCTCTCACGGGGAAGCTTGCTTAGGCGAAGGCTCAGATGAAGTGACAATGGCATCGTCGAGCTTGCTTTTTTTCCCGAGTTGCTCTTCGATCAGAAGGATTTCATTGCTGAAAAACTTCTCTTCCGATTTCCACTCCTCCACCATGTGCTCGGCCTCCAAGCGAGAACGAGACGCATGGTCCAAGCACCTGAGCATGTGACCTCGCTGCTCTTCCAACATCTTCACATCCATCGACTCCCGATCTCGCGCCACGATCTGGAGGCTGACAGTGGCGTTGGAGGACTTCTCAAACTTCAAGTCCTTTTGCATTCCTGCCCAGTATGCCTCGCATGGTAAGGAAACGGGAACATAAAAATGAGCAGCCTTCATCAACGTAAGCGCTACGCTACTTGCAGATAAGTTTCGCAAAGCGGGGACTGGGTCTGACGCACAGGATCCAGGAATGCTGGGAAGTCCGAGCAGCCGTGTTGAATGAGAGGAAACCTGGGACTGAAACTAGTCATGGTCTGACAAGAAAGATATTCAACCGAGACACCACCAAAAGAAAACAACTACATCTTCAGCTAAGCCCAACCAACAAGCGAAACAACCAGACATTGTGGCGACACAGATTCAGCCAAGCCAGCAACTGCAAAGACCTTCTAGCCGAAAACCACCACTAAAAAAACCAACCACCCTTGGCCTGACCAAGTCCGGCACACCCTCATACTGCCGGGTTCTCTCTC